TGTGTGTGTGTGTGTGTGTGTGTGTGTGTGTGTGTGTGTGTGTGTGTAGGTGTGTGTACTCTGCAGCAGTGTGGTACTACAACCACCTGGCCGGTATGAGGGACGTGGTGATGATCACGGAGGACCAGGAGGCCGTGGCTCAGTACAGCAGCCTCCACTCCGGAGTCTACGTCATCTCCATCAAGGTACGGGACGTCCCAGCGACGTTGTCCACTGAGGATTTGGACAATGAGACATGTGACATGACAAACGGCTGTGAGGTTAAAGCGCCGACGTTCAGCTTTAACTCGAGGGTCTTACTCGTGAAGTTGTAGCGCTGCAGTGTTCCAAAAGAGGACGAGGAGTCCTTCACTTTCTTGGTTTGGTTTATTAGATATGGACGTCACAGCGACTATTACGATTAGAACTGTAACACACATTTATGCACGAAGACCAGCTGCATGTCTTTAGTGTTTGTAGTGAAAATGCAAACACAGGAGGCTTTAAAAAATAAATAAATACAATAAAAGAATACGTACAGGTGTGTCTACAGGTTTTCTAGGAGTGAGAACAATGTTTCCATGATTTAATAGCTCTGTTTAAAACATTAACTTTATTTAATTAACATTCATTCTGCTCCTCACACACAGCAGTGATGGACGCCCTCAAACAACATTACATCTGAAAGCCATTGTTGAGTTCAGAGCCAAAACAATACATATTTTTACTGTTTTTTTAAAAACACTTTCAATTTGAGGTTTCACCTCGAGGAGGATTGTAGATTTTTTTTTTAATTAAATTTTTTCGTGCGCTTTTATTTTGTCTGAACAAGTTGAGGAGTTGAAACTGCTCTGATGAAGATTTGATCATCACAGTGGAGAATAAACTTTATGGCGAGTGTTGGCGTAACACAGGTGGTGTCATTATTCCACAGCTGTTTATTCGTGCAATCAACATCCGATCGTAATGAGAAGTTAAAGCGGAAAACTTTGATTTGGACAACAGGAATGAGTAGTTTAATAACCTCATACGATCATAACGTCACAGTACGATTCCTCTGAATGTTGATTAATTCAGAATAAATGCTTTAGTTAACTAAGACATCACAGAATTAATGTAATAAAGTAAACAAGACTACAAAATGTACTTCAGTAATCTCTCTAGTCACCCCTTAAATCCTAAATCATGTTCATACATCAGCATGGATTGCTCAGAGGGCTGAATTTGCGTTGCTCCGTCCATATCGCCCCACTGAGCTGCTTGACAACTAATATGCAGTTAAAGCAGTGAAGGAAAAACAAACTGTCACTACGGCTGCTTTAAGGTTCGGATGAAGCTGCTCCATCCGACTCAGTGGAGCACCGACAGTCGTTCTTACGCACGAGAAACCGGTTATTCTGAGAAACGGCAGATCTTTCTTTGTCTGGTCTACCTGTTAACAGTTATTATGGAAATTGTGGTAAAGTGGTAGTGTCTCTGAGCACCAGAGTCTCTTCAGTAAACCTCTCATGTTACTGCAGCAGGGTCTGACAGTCTGACCCTCTCAGTCCTGGTTCTGGTTCTCCCGTGCCTCCCTTCCCTCCAGCGGGTCCAGCAATATGTCCTGGGTCTCCAGCAGCGTGGTGTCGGTGTTGAATCCCAGAGAGGAGCAGCTCTGCTCCTGGAGGAGGAGGAGGAGAGCTCCGACTGCAGGTCCAAGGCTGCAGGTGAAGCCAGATCTGGGTCTGGTGGACCGGTCTCTGCTGGAGGACCTGGGTCTGTCCACGGTGGGCCGGTCTCTGCTGGAGGATCTGGGTCTGTCCACGGTGGGCCGGCCTCTGCTGGAGGATCTGGGTCTGTCCACGGTGGACCGGCCTCTGCTGGAGGACCTGGGTCTGTCCACGGTGGACTGGTCTCTGCTGGAGGATCTGGGTCTGTCCACAACACCAGATTTCACCAGAATCCGACCCGGTGGCTCTGATGATGAGCATTAATAATAATTCTATAGAAACAGACCATCTTCTCTCTGATGGTCTCTTTACTGATGGAGGTCTGATAGAGGATCAGGACTACACTGAGACTGGTTCGGAACCAGTTCAAAGTTCCTGTTCCTGACACGCCTTCACTCTGTATTTGACAGGAATTTTTGCAAAACTTCTGGCCAGAGCTGCAGGCAGCACATGAGCTGTACAGCTCCATCTCCCAGGCGCTGCACGAGAAGGAGAGCGAGGCCACGGAGAGAGAGTACGCCGAACATCTGCCCGCCGAGGTCCTGGAGGCTGGAATCAAGTCTGGGCGGTACATTCAGGTACAGAACAAGTCCACCTACGTGGTTTTATGTTGAGTGGGTCTCTCTTTAGAATCGCTGTTCTGGTGAACAAAAGGCTTCTTGAAATGTCTGGAAAAAGTAAAAACTTGTGGACTAGTTTGTGGACTGATGTTATGAAGCACAAGTTTGCTGATGTTTTTTTCTTTTTTTTTACAAACAATAAACAGGAAGTGACCATATTTGGACTGAGGAGGACTGGCGTAGAGACGCCATATATGTCTCTGGTAGAGACCTGTCAATCACTGTGTAGCCCCGC